TTTTTTGTTTATTGTGATCATCCAAGAGGCTTTATTTCAGTCCAAACAGTTCCAGAAACAAACAAGAGTTGTCTGTCATGATAGTTGAGAACTGTTGGTTTAGGAGGCACAACAGTAGGATAAAACCACTGAGGCAACATTGCCCTGTGCATGTGGTCAGTGGTGGTTCTCCTTTGGTTTAGCCTGACGACATGCTTCCTGATGTTGTTGGATGAGGTGCCCTTTGCAATTCACCGTGGTGGTTCTTGTTTTAACCAAAGGTATTGGATGTTATCCAGTAAGGAAAATGAAAATTCCTTGTATTTCGGCCTTCTTTACACTGCCTCTGAGGGAAATGGATGGCTACAGCAGGCCAGAGACTTCATTCAGTTTTGAACCAGGTTCACAGCTGGAGCCTTCAGAAATGGGTTGTCTTAGAAAACCTGCCCTTAGGTACTGCATGATCAGTCGCAGGAGGGCAATACTTTGAGTAAGTTTCATTTGCTGTTGTTTTTAAGATCCCTGCTTAACGTGAACTGCTTCATGTTTCTGTGCTATCCCTAAACTCTTTGCAGCTATTTGTGTGTCTCACATAAAAGCCATTCCTCTTGGAGAGTGCATCTCTCCCCACGGTGACAAGCCAGGCTGCTTTCCTCACCGGAGCAGATATACACGTTCTTTGTTTCTGGGAGCATGTGAGAGCCTTGAATTCTAATGCATGTGTTAAGTGTCTCTTCCATGGCGACATGCACCCTGGAGCAGGCTAAGGAAGGAGGACGGCTCCTCACTCCCCCAGTGAGCTGGGAAGAGCAAAGTTGCTCGGGCATATCCAGCCACTGCCAGTAGCACATGGATTTCTGTTTCTGCAAGCTGTCCCCTTGAGGGCTGCCCTGCTTACAGAAAACAGAAAGTTATTGAGGACCTTAAAGCCTTTCAGAAGCTGATGCATGATGCCAAGGCTCTGCCATGCCCTGTGTCTCATGTGCTGGCAAGGGAATAGGTACCCAAAGGGCTCTAGCCTAGATTAGCAGTTCTGGATGCCTTTGTGCCTCTCTGTCAGTCATGCATTTCTGTAGCTCATTCTGGTGAGGCAGTTGGGCAGGCCTGCTGGCTGGGAGCAACATGGACGGTGGTGTTGTCCCCTGTGAGAACCAGCCTTTCATTTCATCGCATTGCCGCAGGTTTTTGGTTTGCCTGTGCTACTCCACTTAAGAGCATGGCGCATGCAAACAGCTTTGCCTCTGCCTGGACTCTGTGAATGTGCCTCTCTAGCCTGGTAGGTTTTCAAGCTTTGTCATCTATCCCTATTTACATTAAAGCTGTTTATCTTTTCTGCATTGTTTATTCCAGGACTAGACTTGGAGACCCTGGGGAGGGGAAAAGAGTAGCACTTACTGTATGGGAGGAAATGTGTGAGTGTTGGGAAGTTCTTTTTTTAACAAATAGCTTTATCTTTTGACTGCTTTGATAACACTGGTTGCTCTCAGAAAAATTCCTGAAGGGGCACATAACACAATAGGTGAAGCCCTGCAAGCCTGGACCTCTTTAGCTCTGCTTCTGTTTTCCTCTGGGACACCAGACAAGTTACTCTGATCTCTCTGTACATTGTTCTCCCTATTGTGAAAGATGAGAAAAATGTGTCTGAGGAAAGCAGTGAAGGATTAAGCACTTTGAAGGTCTTGAATGAAGCCTCTGTGGTTGGTCTGAATCACTGAGTTGGGGCAGATGGGAGCTGATTCGAAAACGCCTGATGCAGCTAGATGTGCCAGAAGAGGGGGAAATCACATTTACCTGCTAACAAAGCTTTACATTGGTAATTGAGGCCTTGATGCAAACAGCTCACAGACACAAAAACAATGGTGATCTGGAAAAGGGCCTAAGAATTAAGGATGATGTTTAACTTACAGGGTAATTGGAAGGAAAGGAGGAAGGATAGAAGTTCAATACACTGAACAGCTTAGACGCTTGCTAATGCAAGAGTGAATAAACAGGAAGAACTAGATTTCTTAACACATCATTTAATAGGTGTAGTAGACACGTGCTGAGATAACTCATGAGGCTGGAATATTAATAGAAAAGAATTATTTCTTTATTCTGGAATGGTAACAGAGGTTTTCCTTGTATGTCTATGTGCTGAGATTCAGCATGGAGAAAGAGATGAACAAATTGCAAATCTCTGAGTAATGCTACAAGGATAAAGACAGGCATAGCAAACCAAGAAGGAAAGTGTTCTGTGAAAGAAACCAAACCAAACCAAAACACAGTTTTCTGAGAAACACGGAATGGTGATAAATGAAGAATTCTGGCTATGCAGAGGCAGAGCTGGAGGGGAACTTAGGGGAACACGACGTGTGCAGCTGGCACAGCATTTTCGTGCAGAGGTGGGTGATTTTTTGGAGCTAGAGAGGAACTGCTTCCCTCCAACAGGGAGGAGCTGCCTGGTGAAAGCAGGAGGGAGTGTAAACAGGAATGATTATGAAATGATGGTAAGATACTTAGGAAAAAGTGACAATAGCAAAGTGTTTAAAATGGACTTCAAGAAGGATATCTTCAGTAAATGTGAAGAGCTAGTAACTGAGATCTCATGGGAAGAAAATCTGGGGTTGAGGGAGAGTTAAGCAGAGCTGTTGCTTCCTTAAATACTTGATATGCAAGGCAGTTAAAAGTCACCATCATCCAGAGAAAGGCTTAGAAGGGTGAGTGAAATGGAAAAATCACAGACTCCTCATTCACTTCAGGCAAAGAAAGGATGCCCCTAGAAGGTGTAGAGTAGCTTGTTTTATCCAGCACAAACTGTGTGGCAAAGGTGAGAAAGAGCTCATCTTGCTTTTCTTAAAGCAAGAAAAAGCTATCAGGGATCTTAAGATCCTTTCCAACCCTAAGTATTCTATAATTCTGTAATTCTACATATAAAGGGCAATAAAAGCTGTTCTGTAAGAGTTGGGATCTCTGGGGTTCTGTAACACTCCTAGTAAGAGGGAGATCAAAGATGGCTTATGTCTGCTACTCAGTGAAAAAAAGCCTAGCAAATAATGCTGAGAAATCTGGGAAATGTCCTTTTTTTTTGGAGGAAGGAGAGTGGGGGGTGTGGAGGTAGGGGTTGATTGCTGTGTTGTTCTGTTGTTTTATTTTTATTTGGACATCTAACATAATAGTTGCCAGAAGGACAGGAGCAGGTGGAAGGCTTTGTATTGAAACAGAGTGGGAATAGGATGGCTAGGAGTGGTAGAGCATAGCCTGGAGCAACGCTGCCTTTGAGAGTTTCTGATGCACGGACAGATAAAGTTCGAAAGACAGGGAAGAGAGCAAGCATAGCATCTATCTTGAAACGGGGGGGAAAGAAAACCTGGGCAATTATAGATATATTGGCTTCACTTCTTGGTAAAGGCTAAAATAATCTAACTAACCACTTCAAAGTAACTGTAAGTGTGTTTGTGGGGAAGAGATGATTAACAGTCAGCAGTCATGAAAAGCTGCAATAAACCAAAATGAATTCTGTATTAGCAGTAGCCAGAGGGCTAGAGAAAAAGCCTTAGATAACTGTCATGTATCTTGACTCTCACTTGTGGCATATTTACAAGTAAACTGGAGATACATGCTTGAGGTAGAATCACCATACAGTGTTTACTAGAAAACAAAATGCACTGACAGTAGTTATCAATGACTGATTATGAAATTTGACAGATTCATCAGGGATGTATACTGAGTCTGGTACTCAATATTTTCTTCTGCTTCTCGGCTTGCATAACAAAGAACACACTTAGCGAATCTGCAAATGGCACCGTGCAGGCAGGAGCCAAAAGCACACTGAAAGATAGGGTAAGAATTGACTAGTTGGAAAAATGAAAACTTTGGGTGCAGTTCAGCAAGGACAAATGACAGATTTGCATTGCTTGATGAGGCATTAGCTCTGCCAGAAAGTGTCTGACAAAATGGATCATATTCTGGAGCGCCATCAGCTGCGTGCTGGTGGTGACTAAAGATACTATTTTAAACTACTTCTTGTTGAGTTCCTATGTTACATACACATTGTCTACAAGATAGGTGGAGTGTCTCTTATGCTTTGGTCAGCTTGGTAAGGCTTCAGCAGCAAACTATGGCCCATGCTGGCCACTGTGCATCTAGAATGAGGTGAATTATCTGGGAAGCTCATTGGAGAGCCACGAGTGATGCTACTTCTGACTGATTGACCTGTAAAAAGTGACTGAAGAACCTGGAGTTGCTTACCCTTGGGAAAAGAATGCTATAGTAAGGCATTACAGTCTTAAATACATAATGAACTTGTCTATGCTCTGTGTCCCGGGGAAGTAGCACAAGGAACTGAGGGGGAGTAGAAGAGCACATTTGACCATCCCAGAAGAAGACATAATTTATTTAAATTGGAGTAATGACTTTTATGTTAAATAGTGGGAGAAAAAATTCCCCCAGGAGAAGGACACTGCAGTCCTGGAAATAAGCAGCCTGAGCAACAGCCATCACTGAAGCTTTCTAAGACATTTATTGGGGGTGACAGGCACGACGCTGTCTGGAGGTAGAGGATAGATCTGATGGTCTTTCAAAATCCCTCCCAGTACTTTTTACTTTCATGATAGCTATGGTGGTGATGTCCCATCTGTGGAATGATGCTAGGAGATTCACTTGTACTGGAGAAAGGGCACTAACAGTAACCTGATGGCAACAGCTCCAGAGGCTTCAGGGTGAAGAGATGGAGCAGGGTAGGAGTAGTGAGCACCACTAGTTAAGTGTCATTCTTATCCAGGAGAAGCTGAACAACCCGTTAAACCAGTGCTGGCATTCCAGTGAGTGGAGGGTTTAAGTGTGCTATGATACCAGTCCGCAGTGCTGCTCTATTAGGGTCACCAGCCTCTCCATTTGCCTAACATGGGGCTGTTAGCCCAGAGCACAGATTTCCTGTGACATTACCTTTTGTATGCTCTGCTTGCACTTTCTGATATTTCATTAACACTTCTATTGACCTGCTTACCAGCAAGTATGCCTGATGTTTTTCCTCTTCTTTACAGAGGTAGAGAGACAACTTCAAGCAAACAACCGGGATTTTAATCTGCAGTTTGAATATGCTGTAAGTAACCAACATATGTTGTTTCATGCAGATGTAGTCACAGATGTAGCTTCATCTGCTTCATGTCTTGAATGTTGTTTCAAGGGAGGTGACGTGACTGCATGCTAATGACAGCCCTGCAAGCTAGGCAGACATGTGCCAGGTAAACCACCAGAGATGGTTCATTGCTGTCAGCCACAGGGAGCTCTGTCTCTGGAGTGAACACTGCAAATAGGCATATAATGCTGGAAGAGCATAAGGTGGTGACTTTACACACTTCCAGAAAACTATTTGTGAGTCAAAGCATTTGCAGGATCAGACTCCAAAGCCTTTCAGTAATGGAACCTGGGGCCAGTTTTCTGTTGGAAAAGTGTCTCCATTTAAAGTAAAACATGTAAGGAAATGTGTCAGTTCCTCAGCTCTTACAGTGAAATCCTCTCTGGCAGGAAGGTTTTGAATCTGGCCTTTGTGGCTTCCTGCCAGCTTTATTTCCAACTCCTTTAACAGCCTACTTATGCTTAAGTTGTACCATGAAATCATAGAATCATAGAGTAGTTAGGGTTGGAAAGGACCATAAGATCGTCTAGTTCCAACCCCCCTGCCGTGGGCAGGGTCACCTTATGCTAAATCATATCACCCAAGGCCTCGTCCAACCTGGTCTTGAACACTGCCAGGGATGGAGCATTCGTCTGTGACTCCAAGGAGCACCTCAATATAGGCTGTGACCCAAGTCTGCCAAGCTACAGTGCCAGAGAGCCCCTCGGGCAACTTGATTTTCAAAGGCTGTGGACCATTTGCTGATACCATATGTGAAGGAGAGAAAGCTCAGCCAATGGACCTGTACTGCTTGGCTGCAGGGTCAGCTTCTCAGTGAGGTGATCCTGAAGCTGCATTCTTTTAGTTGAATATTTCAGCTAATATTAAGATGTGTTTTTGAATTTTTGTCCTCTGCATATCTGAATTCCAGTGGTGAAATTCATACTTCAGTTTTACTCAGGAGCTCCTTTGAATCATGTTTTGGTTTAGGAACATCACAAGTGGTTTTTTGGCAAGAATTGAAAAAAATGAACATTTCAGAACACTGTGATTCCTTGTGAGATAGCAAGTCTGACTTGCCAACAGCTTTGACTAAAGATCTTGATGCAGCTGATCTGTTGGCAACAAGAACTAGGTGGTTTTCAGGGGTCACCTTTCATCCCTGACCTACCCAACAGAGGTTCGAGACTTCCTGGGCCCAGAACCCATTTCATGTGTCCTGAATGTGAAATGTATTGTAGTTAATATATGTAAAGGACTATGCAGCATGAATGCCTTATCAATCCTAGTGATCTGAGACTCGGAGAGTGCATTTGATTTGCACAGAACCTGCCAGTGATGTACTGGGGTGGGTATGGCCACTACATATGGATTTGTGATCTTTCATTGAATGGCTGCAGTGTTGACTATGTGCAGCAGTGGGGAGAGAAAGCAGAAGGGAGATGTACAGTGATGTCAGGGTAGGAAGAATAAGCAACCCTTCTGGTTCTGAGCCTATTTCTGTGAAAAGCCATTTCTAAGGCTGACTTATGTGTCACTGCTTCCCAGCTCATTGCTTACACCCCAATGATTTGCAAATAACCAAAGTTAAGGAGAGGACCATAAGATTGCTGGAGGGTTTCCATGAGTCTATTGATTAGGTGTGAAAGTGGAAGCAGCCAAAAAGCCGGCTCAATATAATCTGTTAAAACTTGACAGTAAGTTTCAGTAATCCTACCCGTCATTTTAATCAGCTGTGGCTAATGATTTCTAGAGTTGAGAGTAGATTGAGAAACTGTCCATAAGGAGTGAGGCTTTGAAGTGGTGAGTGGGTGATGAGGTATTAGAAGACTTTAGGTGATGATGCAAGCTTTGCCCTAACTGTATAGTTGTGCACATCATGTCCCAGGCTTCTTATTTCCAATAAGTCCTGGCAAAAGTTCAATTTGTTAAACCCACATTATCATGTTGTATGAAAAGGACAAATCTTGCTCATAAATTACTTCATGTCCCATGCTATAGTTTGCAGGGTGCTTCTGGAGATGCCAAAAAGGGAAGTAGGTCTCCTGGTACTCTTCCATCAACATAAGCATGATGCTCCTCAAAGTTAGCTCTTCCAGTCCTGTAGTTCACTGAAAGCGTCAAACCTGGCCCCTTCCCCATGTTCAGATTTGCCTTAACATGGTCGAGTTGCTCTGCTAAGCACTAGAATGTGGTCCAGTGAGGGACTAAGACCGAATGCCGGAGCCTGCCCTGGGGTGATCAGTCAGCTATTAGTTGTTAGTCTCAGCTGCCTCTTGGCATGCTGACATTTTCTAGACAGAGTAATTTCTGTCTCCTGCAGCCACAGTCCTCCCTCAGTATATTTTCCCACCCTCTCTTTTCTTTTTTTTTCTAATTTGACCTTTATACAAGCAAACAACAGAAGTGTTTGTACTGTCTGTTCTTCGTTGTGGTGCTCAGCTCTTTGTGACATGAGAATCAGCATACAAGGGCAGCCACGCAGTGATTTGAAGTCTTCCTTATAGGGCCATAGACCAGTTCTTGATCCCACAGCAAAGACCACTAATCCTTGTCCTCCTGCATACTTGTCTTCTCTTGAGGCAGAGGAAAGGTTGCACCAATAGGTATTGCAGCCAGATAAAAGGGACAACGGCCAGAAACTCTAAGGAAAAACAAACAATATAACAAAGCTTTGAAAACATTTTAGACAGTGAAAGCCACAGGAGTGAGGTTTAATTTACTTGGTAAGTTAAGGCTGTGTTAGCCATAAAATCTATAGAACCGGTTCTTGCAATAAAGCTAGGGGAGGCAACGTATGTTTCCTTAGGGTGAGGCAGTTGCTGAAAAAGGCCAGTAAAGAAAAGAAAGGGAAATGCAAACAGAGGTGTAATGTATTGTCTTACTGCTGCAGCCAGGCTGTATGCTGCAGCTGGTGTTCCAGGCTTTCACTAAAAAGAGTTTCTGTTATGTAGGTATTGATCAAAGGTACAGAGGTGCTTTGTCCTAGTTTAGTCTCAGTGAGAACAGGGAAGTGGAAAAGTACAATCAGAGGTGGTTGTGTTGTCCACGAATAGATGATGGTTATCGTCCCTTCCCAGTGCAAAGTCTACAGGATATCTGTGAAATGAAAAGAGAGTAGCTGAGAAAGACTTGAAAGCTCTATTGCATGTGGAGTCTGACATAAGTTCTGGCAGCTGCTGAAAGCTGGCCCTCCTGGTATGAAGCAAGACTCCCAGATATGCTCAAACCAGCTTTGCAGGAACGTGGTGCTCCACCGTGGAAACTGTGTCTCCCAGTGCGTGCAAGGGCATGTCCAGATCATTCAGGCTTGGACTTGGATAAGATTTGGGAAGGCAAACTGCCTCCCAGATCTGGGAGGAAATACATGCGATGCCAAGTTGCAGTGTGTCCCTTTAGCTGAGACGCTGCTGGGCAGGAGGGTTGGATAGTGCAGGAGGCTGTACTGATAGGGTGGGATAAGATTAAGAGGTGCATAGGAGGGTGCACATAGTAGAAATCACCTTAACACAGTCTTCATGGTGAGAATGAGGGACAGCTTCAGAGGCAGAACCTAATGCACCCTTGGCATATGAGATGTGTCACACGAGGCTGGAAGATTGGGGTGGTATCCTTCATCTGTGTGAACAGGCAGTAGAGACTGAGGGAGATAAGGGAAGATTTTCCTATCCAAAGAAGCATCTTATGTGTCTCCTGACAATTTTTGCTGTGACTAAATAATACGAGGTCCTGTGGTCAAGGGCAGCAGCTTCAAGCACTGGCAGTACTTGGCTAGGTCGGGATTTATTTGGACTCAGTGTGAAAAATAAAGCTGAAACTAGAGCTCTCAGACTAGAGTAATGCCAGACATCCTTGGCCTTATCCTGCACAGCGAGAACACCATAACCTAGAAAAAGAAAAGAAACTTTAAAACAAAGTGCTGTTCAGTTAACTGGAAGGGCTGAGTGCGAAGGTATGTACTACCCACCAGCTCACAGAATTAGTTAGGAATGACTCAGAAACCAAGTGTGAATGAGTGGTATGAAAAGGCAGTGCAGCAAAACACGGACTCAGTATAGGTCAGTAAAAATGAAAAGTCAAGTCCTTATCCTGTGTTTACTCACATTGCAGACAGGAAGATCCTTCAGTAAAAATGAAAAGTCAAGTCCTTATCCTGTGTTTAGTCACATTGCAGACAGGAAGATCCTGACTTCAGTAAAAGAGTTGCTTGTGTAAAGACTGAAATAAAGTGAAAAGCAGGGTGCCAGGTATGGTCCAGCAAGGTTTAAGGGCTTTAATAAAGTTTCTTATCTGAGGCTGTTCTGTCTGTCTGCACTGTCCCCAGCTGAGCTGCAGAGGGGACTGTCTCTTGTGGGTCCACCAAGATGGGCTTTCTGTCTGTCAACACTTTGCAGAAGAAAATCTCTTCTGAAGGCCTTTAATGTTTGCTCTGATCCCAATTCCCTTTAATTTCTTTGCTTTCACGTTGGAATTTAGCACAGCTGCACTGGGACGTCACAAAGAGCTGCGAAAACAACTTTGAAATTGGCTTTTAGACAATAGGAGAGGAAATGCAAGGCCCATGAGTCAATGACAAATTTCATCTTGGATCAGGATCTAGGGCCAAACCAGCATCCTTTCTATGGGACCAGAAGAGGATGCTGCTTAAGACTCTGCTTTTGTTCTCCCTGGTCACCTGATGAATTCTCTAGTGAAATAGGAGTGATGTATATAACCTCCTATGGCCAATGCACACTGCCCTGGGCTGGATCAGCAGCTGCATTCTTACCTCTGAAGTTTAACTGAAGAGCAAGTTGCTGTGGTAGTGTGCTCAGACTCTGCTCCACCTCTTCTGCTTGTGTGCTTCAGTCTCTGAAGGATGCCTGGTGCCTTACCCTCAAGGACCTTGTCAGTGTGGACAGGAGGGTGGCAACAGCTGCTGTCTTTTCCAGTCTCAACCTGCAAGTGCTTCCCAGGATTCACCATGCTTAAGGCTGAAGGGAGCG